TTTTTTTTTTTGGGAGACAGAGTCTCATTGTGGTAGAGCGCAGGGGTGTCGTTACAGCTGACAGCAACCTCAAACTTGTGGGCCCACGCCTTTCTTTTGCCTCAGCCTCCCTGTTAGCTGGGACTACAGATGCCCACTACAACTCCTGGCTATTTTTTTGTTGTTGTCATTGTTGTTTAGCAGGCTCTGGCTGGGTTTGAACCTACCAGCCCTGGTGCATGTGGCTGGCCCTAACCCTTGAGCTACGGGCACCGAGGCAGCATCGGTATTTTTTTTTAACATTGGCATTTTAAAATCTCCCCAGTGACCAATGTGCAGCCAATACTGGGAAGTAAGCTTATTCACTACATTGTTAGAAGAGAGTGGACTCTGAGCTCTCCTTAACTCTTTTTTTTGTTCTTTGTTTTGAGACAGTGGCTTACTCTGATGCCTTGGCTGGAGTGTAGGGGTGTCATCATAGCTCACTGCAACCTTGAACTCTTGGGCTCAGGCAACCCTCCTGCTTCAGCCTCCCAAGTAGCTAGGACTACAGGTGTGCTCTACCATGCCTGGCTAATTTTTTTTTGCAGTTTTTGGCCAGGGCTGATTTTGAACCTGCCACCCTCAGTATATGGGGCCGGTGCCCTTCCCACTGAACCACAGATGCCGCCCAGAAACAGAAAATTTTTAAAAAGATTTAATTATTTTAGCCACGTGCAGTGATGTGGGCATGTAAACCCAGCTATTGGGGAGGCTCAGGTGGAAGGATCTCTTGAGCCCAGGAGCCAGCCTGGGTGACATAGCAATATCCCATCTCCAAAAATAAAGATGTAATTGTTTTGTCTGACAATTTTTCAAAATATGTGACATATTTCTCTGCCTTCCCAAAGTATTCTATGCATACCTTAATCTTTTATTAGTGATGTGGGGCCAGTTCTTGAGCTGAACTGTAATTCACACGGCCCTTGGTGATACCCAAAGTGTTGGGATGACAGGCGTGAGCTACTGTGCCCAACCAGAGCATGTTTTTTTATATTTATATTTTAAGTGTTTTGGTCAGCATCTGACTATGCTTTTTCAGATCCTGTTTTGTTTTTTCTCTCTCTCTTGCCATCTGGCATCACTTTGATTTGTCTTTTTTTGTCAGCCTCTGTTATATCCCTTAGAATTTATTTTGAATTTTGTGATTTAAAATGAGTTGGAACCCTGAATACCTTTATCATACATGAGTAAAAACACAACAACTTTAAGGCAAGGATTTTATGATGTCTTTTCTGTCTGTTTGGCTTTGGTGTTCTATGTAGTTGAGGCTGTTTCATGTTACTAAACTGATGGTGAATTAATACAAAAAGGAAAAACTTACGTGTATAAGATTTTTCTTAGCAATCTAGCACTGTTCAGTGTTTCTCTGGTTGAGAGGTATTGGATGAAT